ACTTGAAGAGTGGGTGCCCTTCCCTCCCTCTTCGTTGCGGTCTTTTTCCCCTTTGGGGAGTCAGGTACTAAGACATTCCAAAGCAAATGCTCTTGTGGAGGAAATTAGAAAGTCACCACGCATGGCCAGAGAAAGGCACAGGTTCAGAAAAGACCTGAGACCTCAAGTTGACACCTCAGCACACAGACATCCTACAATTACAAAAACAAAAGCCAGCAAACCTCAGGAAGGGGAAGAATCTGATTTCCAGGGTTGCTACATTGTTCAATTGCAATGTCCAGTTTTGAACAACAACAAAGCACAGTGGATACAAAAAAAATCAGAAAGTAAAGCCCATTTCAAGGGGAAAAAAAAAAAAATGAACCAACAGATACTTCCCTGAGAAAGACCAGATGGCAGAATTGCTAGACAAAGGCTTTAAAATATTGCATAATTATAGTAGCTTAGTATTATTGTAAAACCAGTTCGTAACTCCACTTTTTGTTTTTTACATGATTCAAGAGAATAATGCGTTTTTAAAAACTATTAGTCTAAAAGCTAGTATTCTTGTACTTTTGGCTTAAAACTCCATGTTTTCTTTTCTCTATACTTTATGAAAGTGATGCATTGAGAAAACAACCATCATTTTATATTTTTGGACACATGTAAAGATATAGTTTTGTGACATCCATAACTGAAAGGGTTGGGGTGGAGCTATAAACAAGCAGAGTTTTTGTACACTATTGAAGTTAAATTGGTGTAAATTTAAATTAGACTGTTACAATTTTAGGATATTAAATGTAGTCCACATGGTAACCACAAAGAAAATAGTTACAAAATATACACCAAAGGAAATGAGAAAGGGCTTAAAGCATTTCACTGCCAAAAAAAAAAAAAATCAAACACTGAAGAGCATAATTTGGGAAATGAGGGACCAGAAAACCTAGAAGGCATGTAGGAAAAAAATAGAAAAACAATACACGTTAAGTCCCTGCCTCCTTACAATAATTATTTTAAATACAAAAGGGTTAAACTCTCCAATCCAAAGACAGAGATTGGCAGAATGGAAAGCCAAAAAAAAAGCTATGATCCAACTATGTGCTCTCTACAAAAGACTCACTTTAGATCCAAAGACACATAGACTGAAAGAGAAAGGATATTTTTACACCTCTGCTCATAGTAGCATCATTCACAATGACAGAAATAAAGAAGCAAGCCAAGTGTCCATGAGTAGATGAATGGATAAACAGAACATGGTATATGCTTACAATGGAAAAACATCCAGACTTCTTGAAAAGGAAATTCTGCTATCTTCTACTATAGGAATGACACTGGAAAACATTATGCTGAGCAAAATAAAGACACACGGTACGATTCCACTTATATAAGATACTTAAAGAGTTGTCAACTCAACAGACACGAGTTTGGACAAGTTCCAGGAGACAGTGAAGGAAGGGTAGTCTGGTGCCGTGCAGTCCACGGGGTCACAAGGACATGACTTAGCAACTCAACAACAGCGAAAAGAGTTGTCAGAATCATAGAGATAGAAAGTAGAATGTTGGTTGTTAGTGGATGGAGGGATGGGGAGTTATTGTTTAAAGGTTAAATAGAGTTTAATAGAATTTTAGTTTTACAAGATGAAGAGCTCTGGAGATATACGGTGGTGATGTTTACAAAACAGTGTGAATTTACTCAGAATCACTGAACTGTACATGTAAAAATGGAAAAGATTGTAAATTTTATTATGTGTATTTTACCACCATAAAGAATGGAAGATAAATACTAATTTAGAACAACTCAGCAAAAACTCACAGGTCAGTTTTAGTGGTGCTAGAAAGAGGGATGTCAAAGAGATACTAAAACCTCATAGACAAAAGAGTTGTCATGTTCCTGAACTAGGGCTGTTCTCAGCTGACCTTTATCTTAAAACATCTTTCCTCTAATGCTGGGCTTCCCAGGTGGCGCTAGTGATAAAGAAGCTGCCTGCCAATACAGATAGATGTAAGAGACACAGGTTTGATCCCTGGGTTGGGAAGATCCCTTGGAGGAGGGCAAGGCAACCCACTCCAGTATTCTTGCCTGGAGAATCCCACTGACAGAGGAGCCTGGTCGGCTGCAGTCCATGGGGTTGCACAGAGTTGGACACGACTGAAGCAGCTTAGCACAAGCACACCTCTAATGCTGGTATGAGAGATTTGAGTTACCATGGTCACAAAGATCAGCTGTAACAGAGGACTCCATCAATGATTCAGAGTGATGGGCCGTTTAGGAAGATATAGATGTGCACAGGTGGTTAGACCATAAAGCCACTCACTACTCAACATTGCAACATTGCCGCCACCCACAGGGAGACCAGCGGGGTAGTGCACAGATCAATACCAGATATAGACTTAGTTCTGAAATACAGACAGTTAAAAATGAGTAATAAGAAATAGGCACAGTCGGCGAGAGCAAAGCTCTGTTAGCCCATCATGAAGTTCTCGAGGAGCACCCTTCTGGGGCAGTACACTTTGTCAGCTTTCCTGAGTCCATCCACACACCTCAGTGTACCCAGCAATTCTAAACAGAAGCCCCCAAAAAGAAACACAAAGAAAAACTAGTTTTTACTCATAATTTACAATCACAGGTGCCCACACACACCTGTGTGGGGAGGAAGGGAAGCAAAGTTACAAGGTTGCAGTTATTATCTCACTAATAAAAACAGTAGCTTGTGTGTTTTTTTTACATAATTGCAATATGTCCAACAGTAATCTCATATCAGAATTGCAAAAGTCAGAGATAAAGTTATTTTCATGAGAAGCTAACTTCGGAAAACTGACCCAAGGATTCATTTCTGTTGAGAATTTGAGCAAGACAGAATGACCTTTATGTTGGGGAGAGTAGCAGTTTCTGCCACTTGAACATTATGGGGACCTTGCTTCTCATTCAGAGCTCACAGATTGGGAAACTATATAAGATGAAACCATACTTTCTGCCTGAAGTAATTTTTTAAATGATGATAACATAAACTAAGGGATTCCCAGGTGGCTCAGTGGTAAAGAATCTGCCTGTCAATGCAGGAGATGCAGGTTCGATCCGTGGAGGGATCCCCTGGAGGAGGAAATGGCAACCCACTCCAGTATTCTTGCCTGGAGAATTCCATGGACAGAGGAGTCTGGCGGGCTACAGTCCATGGGGTCAAAAAGAGTCGGACAGGACTGAACATGCATTCACACTATATAAACTTAAAGAAAAAAAATGCTCTGGTCAAATCCTCTTCCTCTCCTTGGTTTTGCTTTCAACCTTAACCATGTCCAAGGTCACAAAACCAGTCTTCCATATGCATTCAAGAGTGGGAATGCCCCTGTATGCGCAAGAACTGAGAGTTTGTTGTCTCCTGTCTCCGTCACTTCCATGATAAAGGAAGAGAACCTGCCCATCTTCACACTTTTGTGAATCACGTTTGTCTGACAGTGAATTGTGGGGGTTAATGGTAAGTCACCAGCCTGCTGAGCTCAACAGAATTAAACTCACAACCAGAGATGAGTGCAATTTAATGATAAACAGATAAAGCAGGAGGCTCAGAGGAGTGTCTCATACCAAGGATCTTCTCCAGTCTGTTTTAAGTGCTGTCATTGGAAAATAAATATGCTGCATTTGGGGGTTTTCAGGCAAAGAGTTCCTGTCAGACGCGTCTTAGCTGTCATCAGTTGAATGAAGACACTTTCCTATTTCAGTAATTTAGACTTCAGCATTTTTTTTTTATGTGCACACTAAAATAAGCCACTTAAACATAGGCTAAGAGCTGATACTAAAATTATGAAGTCCTATGTTTTATTTATTACTGCTGGGAATTAAGATATCATTGCCTCCTCCCATGGGGTTCCATTTCCTGCCCCCAAGCTCCATGCGCCAGAGACTTAAATAGCAGAAGTCATCCTTTAGAGACCTGTAAGGAGGAAGAATATTCCAAATGGGTTTTAGGAGCTACCTAAATATGTCTGATTAGGGGGCGGGAGACAAGGCAGGAACTGAACTTTGGACACATGCCAATTCCACCCAATTTGAAAATTTAAGAAGCGCCAACTTTGCTACAGCCACTCCTGTACTCGGTTCCAGAAGTAAATCAATAGGACAGAATTGGAACCTGCAGGTGGGATGAATTAATTGTCTTGTGGGGTTTTTGGTAATACCTAAATGGCTTTGTAAACTAAAAGTATTCCATAAAGATGTCATTATAAGTACCTCTGTCGCTGGGAGGAGCATGATTGATAATGAATGGTAAGGTGAATTAAGGAAAAAAAGTTGTATGTTACCTAATTTTTTCCACAGGAAGTAAAACATGTCAAATTAGTAAATGTTATATGGCAGAACCATTCAGTAAAACCCCATCAGAGAGATAAACAGTTCATCCAGTTGCCCTAGTTCAGAGGAAACCTCATTTTATATATTATTTGTAAAGTTTTGTTCTCCTGCTTTGAATGTTTCTCTTTTCTTTATAGGAACCAGAATGCAGATTTCATATGTACATACATTTTTGTGCTTTGACTCTTATTTGTTAAATAATACAGTTGCCAACATAGCTCCCATCAGGGGATTTTTGAGGTTGTGTTACAGTTACCATATGTTTTCCTGACTTCTTTGAATAGCAAGCTGGGACCCACTGATAACTAACCTCTACTGAGACCTGTGTCCAGGGTCATCACCGTGTGTTCAATGCTTCCCACATGTTTACTCATTAAATCTTTGCAACAACCTAGTAAGGGTAGGTATACTGTCATTCTTGCTTCATGATTTGAAAAGCTGAGGCTCAGAGGCCTGAAATAACTTGTCCAGAGAGTCAGTCCCACATCTATCCAGTACCACAAGCCACGCATTCATGTTTGGTCTATGTGCCCGCGGTACCTATGTAGAGAATCATCAGTGATGGGAACAGACAACATTGTGTTAACCTGGCCTCTTGTCTTCTCTTTTTCACCTTAGTCCCCACCTCCTCTGTTCTGACCCCATTTCAACTCTTCCCTTTGTCTTCTTTTCCGAAGGCAAATACGCCATGCGAGACCTGGTCCACCGGCTTCCCGGCGGGAACAACAGCAACAGCGCAGCGAGCAAGGCCATGTCGGATGACACGGTGACGGCCGTGTGCTGCACCCTCCACGAGGTGATCACCAAGAACATGGAGAACGCCAAGGCCTTACGGGATGCCGGGGGCATCGAGAAGTTGGTCGGCATCTCCAAAAGCAAAGGAGACAAGTAAGTCAGGCAGTGACTTCCTAATGCATAGAACTGGTGTTGGTAGATACAGATCTAGGGTTTCCCAGGTGGCATTGTGGCCAGTGCAGGAGACACAAGAGACGGGCATTTGACCCCAGGTCAGGAAGATCCCCTGGAGAAGGAAAAGACAACCCCCTGCAGCATTGTTGCCTGGGATATCCCAGGGACAGAGGAGCCTGGCGGGCTACAGCCCGTGGGGTCACAAAGAGCTGTACATGACTGAGCATGTACGCACACATGCACAGACACAGTTCTAAGTGTGCCCGATGACCCTTGGTTTGGGGTAACATTACTGAATGTCACTGGGAAGCATTGGTGTCTGATCATCAAGAGATGGAAGACAGCAGATGGTTTCCAGTCTTCCCACCCCACAAGGAAAGCTGGTCTTACTAGTAATTTTGATTTGACAAATAACTCATGACTTGGTGACTCCTGGGGTGTTGATAAGGTAGGCTTAACAATCCAGCATCCAGTCTAGTGACCTGCATATGTGCTTCCCTCATAGCTCAGTTGGTAAAGAATCTGCCTGCAATGCAGGAGACCCCAGTTCGATTCCTGGGGCAGGAAGATCCCCTGGAGAAAGGATAGCTGCCCACTCCAGTATTCTTGAGCTACCCTTGTGTCTCAGCTGGTAAATGCGGGAGACCTGGGTTCAATCCCTGGGTTGGAAAGATCCCCTGGAGAAGGGAAAGGCTACCTACTTGAGTGTCCTGGCCTAGGGAATTCTATGGACTGTATAGTTCATGGGGTTGCAAAGAGTCGGACATGACTAAGCGACTTTCACTTTTCATACCCAGGAGACGACCCAGATTCATGAAGGTATTTTGTGGTGGTGGTTCCAGTGTAGTTCCAAATCCGAGTGTTGATGATGGATCTACATCCTTTTGTTCTGTGCCTCTTCAGTTCTGCATAGCAAGGCATGCAGGGAGGATGGGAGAGAAAACAGTGGCAGTCAAAAAGAACCTAGCACTTATCTACCACCTTCCCTCATCAGCTGTGTGTTTGGGACAAATTATGTCGTTCAGCAAGTCATCATGCTCATACCTGCCAATCTAAAGACCGCAGGGGGGACTGACATAAAAGACTTCCTGGAAGAAATAATAATTACATCTTAAATACTGAGTCAGATTTTCCCAAGGATGGAAGAAGTGAGGAAGGAGGGCTTTTACGCCAGTGGATTAAAGAGAGAGAGGGCTTATGTCAAAGGAATGGCACCACCACAAATAATAATGTTCCCGGTTCGATTTAAGAACCAGTGGTATTTTACTGTATGTAACTTAAAACGTATCTCCACCAGCCACAGGGTTGGTATATCCGTGAGCTGTCAATTTTACAAAAACACTCACTAACCTTAATTAAATTTCGAGTTCTGGAAGTCCCTCAATGTAATCAAATAAGATTAACAGGGTAAACCTTTTGTTATCAAGGGTCTACTTCTTGACTTTATTCCCTTTACATCTAAACGCCAAATAAGTTTTCTTTTGTTATTAAAGGCTTTAAAGGATGCACTTCAAGGCTTTTGGATATTCTCTTATTTCATTTAATTCAAGATACTACCATTGTGCAATAAAAAGAAGTTTCAGGGGTTCTGTTTAAGCGCCCTGAGACCTTCAGATAGGTTCAGTCAGTAGTTTCAGTATTGGGATTTGAAAACTTTTCCATATCAAATATAGAGAAACCCCATTGGACTTGTGGACTTGTGGAATAATTGCACAGTACAGATGGTTGGCTTGAATTATACCTTATAATATTGTAGTTACAGTAAAAATGCTCTTCTCCATTGGCAGGAAACCACATGGTTCTCTTGTTTATTTACTTTTTAGGACTGGGCAGAGGGGTGGTTTTTCCCTGAGGCTTTCTGTGATCTGGGCCTGCAGGACTTATCCTGGGGCCACCAGCTAGGTCAAGGAAAGTTACACAGGCTTTGATTTTATTTCTTTATTTTTGGCTGTGCTGGGCCTTTGTTGCCGCACTGGGGCTTTTCTCTAGTTGCAGCAGCAGGGCTGCTCCCTCGTTGTGGTGCCCGCGCATCTCATTGCAGTGGCTCCTCTTGTTGTGGACTCCATGGCCCATGGGCTTCAGGAGTTGAAGCTCCCAGGCTCTGGCGCACAGGCGCGGTATTTGTGGGGCACAGGCTTAGTTGTTCTGGGGTACGTGGGATCTTCCAAATCAGGGATCAAACCCATGTCTCCTGTAATGGAAAGCGGATTCTTTCCCACTGAGCCGCCAGGGAAGCCTCAGCTTTCTTCTTGTTATATAGCTTCAGTGGTTGTTATTATTCAGTCACTCAGTCGTGTCTGATTCTTTGTGACCCCATGGACTGTAGCATTCCAGGCTATCCTGTCCTTCACTTAGCTTCACATAGCTTTAGCGGACCTTGGAAATCTCTAATTTAAATGCATACCTGTTTGGGGCATTAGAAACTTAATATGATGATGCTTTTCTTAAGCAAGCGCATGTGCATACACAATAAAACCACAGTCCACTCTGATATAATTGTCTATGTTCATGAGACGTTCAGAGAAGAAAGTATTGTCCCTGAATCATAAAACTGTAGATCTCTGGGAGGTTGTTATATGAATTCCTTCCATCTGTGTGAGCATCCCTAGTGTGCCTTAAAGAGAAAAAAATGCTCTTATCAGCCCTATGGTCAAAGAAAATTATTTGATAAAACTAATTAAAAACTCATTTGAAGAAACTGTGCGTGAAGTCGTATATATCCACATTGCCAATCTAGCAAATAATCCTGTTAGGTCTATTCCCGTCTGGATTGTTGCTAACGGGAGGTTCCTTTTACTAGAAATAATCTCAAATATATGCTTTAAATTGACTGAAAATTTCTTCATGGAATAGATACTCATTTCATATCATTGTCTCTTTACCTTTCCCTCAATGTTTAGCAGTCTGGATTTATGAATTTAATAAGAAGTGTTGAATTCACTTGAGTCAAGCATTTCCCATTTAGAATTCTCCTGCTTAGTCTCATCCATTTTGTTATGCGGTTTACCTCTTTTAGATAGTGGCTAATTTGGGGGTCGAAGCAAGGTTTTTATAACTGGCCACATCCTCATCTCCCACCTGCACTTCAGTTGGATTTTTGCTTCTCACTGCTCTTAAAATGCATCCAGAAGAAATACATTGGGTCTTAGCACTAAACTCACCATTTGTCACTCAATTCTATCATGATAGTATATCTGAGATTCCCATGGCCTTCTAGAAGTGTTTTAATGAAATAAAAATACTTTATTGAAAATAAATGTTTTGGAATTGAAGATGATTTAATAATTGGAAAAGGGAGAAATATCAGTTTGCTCTAGTTAATTCATAAAATGCTTGCAGACTTGCCCTCCTCCCAAAACTACTCAAACTTTTGTGATCACGTGAGAAAACACAGATGAACAACCATGTATAGCAATGATTCTCCCTTTTATGTATTTATAGGTTTTATTTCTAAATATGCACACACTTAAATATGCTGTGATTTTGATGAGTCAGACTGCAAGTGCCAATCAAGGTGTGTTTGAACTGTATAACTCATCACATCTTGCCAATACACTGGAACAATTATTCTGGAATCCTGCAGCTGGAAAGACTGTGCTGAAAACCCACAATGAAATCACACCAACTGAGATTCTCAGCCATCCCTAATTTGACAACTCTAATGAAGATCAGACATTGTGTAGTTGTTAATGACTCTTATAGGAATCTTATACTTACCATTTTTGAAGACTTGATAACTTATATTATTCTTTTCACATCATTTTAAACACACAGCATGGACATTCTGTCATATCCATCTGTTTCAAAAGTACATTTGTGTTTTTTCAGATTTTAACAGTCGTGTAGGAAATAGTGTTGAATGTGTCAACTGTATTTTGTCATAAGACAGAAAAGCCATTAACAGTCTCAACTGTTACTTGTCAGTAAGGAACTGTGTTTGTGGCTGAGGTTATAATCACTTGTCACATTAGAAGCACTCAATTGTTCAAGTCCTTCAATCAACAGTTACAGGTTTTCAAGTAGCCGTTACCTGAGATTGGTCTAGTGGATGAACCAAAATTAAAGTCTAAAAAGAAAGCAGTATTTCTTTGACCTTTATCAGTTTTTATAACACTGTGGTATCCTGACATGTTAATTGAGAGGTTAAAAGTTGCTATTCATTCCACATTCTCAGTCTGCATTTTGTAACTAAGCAAGAAGTAGGAAAAAATTACAGTGTCAGAGGACGTTTTGCATACTAAAATTTTCAACTGTATTATTACCACCTGAATATTAAGATATGTTCCTCCAGAGTTGCTTGACTTTTGTCAAAGACACTTATTTAGCTGCTGCTTCTGCTGCTGCTAAGTCGCTTCAGTCGTGTCTGACTCTGTGCGACCCCATAGACGGCAGCCCACCAGGCTCCGCCGTCCCTGGGATTCCCCAGGCAGGAACACTGGAGTGGGTTGCCATTCCCTTCTCCAACGTATCTAGCTAACAGTGCTAAAATCCAGCAAAACATAGCATTTAATCTTTGCTCAGCATTGATTATGTAAGAATAGTATGTGAGGATCATCAGAATTGCAGAGCTTCTTCCCAAGGAGCCTACATCAACTCCCCAGCGCCAGGAAGACCAGCCCCCAGCTGGGAGAGCTGCAGGGCTGTAGGAAACACGGACTCTGCTCTGAAGGGCTCACGCACAACTCATTCCAAGACTGAGCGCTGAAGCAGCAGTTTGAAAAGAGCCTGGATCAGAGCTCTTACTGATCTTAGAGAGCATCTCAGAGAGGCAGGAGGCGGCTGAGACTCCCTCTGGGGACAGAGGTGCTAGCAGCAGCCTCTTTGGGAAGCTAGTTCTGCCTTGTAGACACTGGTGCTAGCAAGTGCCACTTTGGAGTCCTCCTAGTTTATTAGCACCAGGGGCTTACTTGCCCACCAGCCAGTCAGCCTCACTGCTGGTTCTCCCTAGGTTGAGAAGCTAGCTGTGCCAGGACCAATAGCATCCATACAGGGCCTGGCAGCCAACCAGACCACGGTCCAGTCTGCCTGCCAGTGCACCCATAGTAGTTACTGCTCCCCCACAAAAGAAGGGCTCACATGGCCCACACGGGCGTCCCCGAGAGCATATAGCTGTGGTGACCCCAGGAGAGTATGCTCCTGGGCCTCATGGGATATCTACATAAGGCGGCTCCTCCAATATCAGGAAAGGCAACTTCAGACCTACTTGATACACAGAAATAAAAACAGAGAGTAAAGCAAAACAAGTGACAGAGGAATATATTCCCAATAAAGGAACAAGATAAAACCTCAGAAGGAGAACTGAGGGAAGTAGAAACAATCTACCCAATAAGGAGCTGAGGTCATAATCATAAAGATGCTCAGGAGAATGAATGCAGTAACAGGTGTAACAGAGTTAGAAAATATAAAGAAGAATCAAACAGAACTGAAGAGTACAATTGTTATTGTTCAATTGCTCAGTTGTTTCTGACTCTTTGTGACTCCATGGACTGCAGCACACCAGGCTTCCCTGCCCTTGACTGTCTCCCAGACGCATGTCCATCGAGTCGGTGATGCCATCCGACCATCTCATCCTCTGTCATCCCCTTCTCCTCCTGCCTTCAATCTTTCCCAGCATCAGGGGCTTCTCTAGTGAGTTGGCTCTTCGCATCAGGTGACCAAAGTATTGGAGCTTCAGCTTCAACATCAGTCCTTCCAGTGAATATTCAGGACTGATTTCTTTTAAGATTGACGGGTTGGATCTCCTTGAAGTTCAAGGGACTCTCGAGAGTCTTCTCCAACACTACAGTTCAAAAGCACCAATTGTTCAGCGTTCAGCCTTCTTTATGGTCCAGCTCTCACATCTGTACATGATTCCTGGAAAAACTGTAGCTTTGAGTAATACGTGTATAACTTTGGGTATTTTTGTATAACTGATTTTTTTTTAATACACTAGGAAGAATAGGTAGTATATTAGATGATACGGAAGAATGGAATGGCAAACTGGAAGACAGTAGTGGAAATCAATCAAGCTAAACAAATAAAATATTTTTAAACGAGTATAGTTTAAGATACCTTTAGGACAACATTAAGCATACTAATATTGGCATTGTAGGGGTCCAGAAGGAAAAGAGAAAGAAAGGGGCAGAGAATTTATTCGAAGTAATAGTATTAACAGCTGAAAACTTCTCCAGCCTGGGGAAGAAAACAGACATCCAGGTCCAGGAAGTAGAGTGAGTCCCAAACAAGGTGAGCCCAAAGAAGTCCTCACCAAGACACGGCGTATTTAAGGTGGCAAAAACTAGAGGTAAAGACAGAATTTTAAAAGCAGCAAGAGAAAAGGGATTAAGTATGCACAGGGGAACTCCAGTAAGTCTCTCAGCTGATATTGCAGGCCAGAAGAGGGTGGCAAAAATAAGCAAAGGGAACCTAATTAAACCTAAAAGCTTTTGCACAGTGAAGGGATCCATCAACAAAGTGAAAAGACAGCCTACTGAATGGGAAAAAAATATTCACAAATGATACAACCAGCAAGAGGTTAATATCCAAGATGCATATATATATATATATAAAGTATTATATATCTACCATACAATTCAATAAACAACCCAATTAAAATTAGGCAGAAGACTGAAAAGGCATTTTTCTCCCCAAAGAAAATTTACGGATGGCCAACAGGCACATGAAAAGGTGCTCAACATCACTCACTAGTCATCAGGGAAATGCAAATCGAAACCACAATGAGATATCACCTCACAGTTGTCAGAATGGCTATTATAAAGGACAAAAGCAATAAGTGTTGGCAAAGATGTGAAGAAAAGGGGACTCTTGTACACTGTTGGTGGGGATATAAATTGGAACAGCCACTATAGAAAACAGTATGGAGGGTCCTCAAAAAATTAAAAATTGAACCACCATATGATCCAGCAGTTCCAGTTCTGTATAGTTTTCTAAAGAAAAAAGAAAGACACTGATTGGAAAAAGTTTATGAACTTCAGTGTTCATTGCAGTATTCCTTATTACAATTTCCTTCTCCAGGGGATCTTCCCAACCCAGGGCTTGAACCCGGGTCTCCCACATTACAGGCAGACGCTTTACCATCTGAGCCACCAGGGAACCATATTTATTGTAATATATATGTACATGTTGCATATATACAGGTAGTAAATAGATTATTTACTACAATATGCATGTGTGTATATATATATACACACACATATATATTTATGTGTGTATATATATACACATACATACAAGAGAATATTACTTGGCCATAAAAAAGAATAAAATATTGTCATTTTCAACAGTATAGATGGACCTAGAGGATATTATACTAAGTGAAATAAGTTAAAGAAATCCAAATACCATATGATTTCACTTGTATGTGAAATCTGAAAAACAAAACAGAAGAACAAACGTAACCAAATAGGAACAGACTCACAGATGCAGAGAACAAACAGGCAGCTTGCAGAGGAGGGAGGGATGGAGCGATGAGTGAAATGGGTGAGGGAGATTAGAAGATATGAAATTCCGGTGGCAAAATAAATGAACCGTAGGGAGGAAATACACAGCAGGGGGAATATAGTCAATAATATTATAATATTTACAATAAATATTGTAATTTGTGTAGTGCCAGCTGGTAAATAGAATTACCATAGTGGTTGTTTTGCGATGCATACAGCTATCAGACCACTAGCAACTAACAGAGTATTGTAGGTCAATAATAATTCAATTTTTTAAAAAAAGAATAAAGTATACCTGTATCTATATCCATGAAAAGATCTACAATTCTCTGTCAAAAGAATTCAATATATTTAGAGCATGATACTAGCGTAAATGTGAAATCATTTAGCCACTGTCCATTTTAGGTAAAGAAAATATATATTTTGCTTAAATATTGCTCATCTCATAGAGAAAAAAATTTGAAATTTACAAGAGTACTATATGTTTTCTTTTAAAAGTACACAATATTAGCTAAGACATTTTCAAACACAGCCAAAGTTGAATTCCACTTCAGCAATAATAATAGGAAGAGTGACTGTTCCAGTTTCCAGTAAGTAAATGGATGAAGGAACTTAAATGAAGTTGTTCTACATTGCACACTTGAAGACCCAGGAAAATAGACATTTAATTGATCACGTATGAAGGTCCCATCATTTCATTACAAAATACAGGCCCTTGCTTCCCAGGTGGCACTAGTGGTAAAGAACCCACCTGCCAATCCAGGTAGACATAAGAGATGTGGGTTCGATCCCAGGGTCAGGAAGATCCCCTGCAAGAGGGCACGGCAACCCACTCCAGTATTCTTGCCTAGAGAAGGCAGGCAGGCTATAGTCCATAGGGTTGCAAAGAGTTGGACACCACTGAATTGGCTTAGCATGCACACATCCATTTACTCTGGCTCTCAAGTCAAAGCTCAACTCAATCCCGTCTCACCATCTGCTCATCTTCCATTTTAAAGACTATTTTATGTTAAAAGCAGTTTTGATCTCAATTCATATGTTCTCTTTGGGGAATCTTCAGGGGTCAGCTTCAGGGGTGGACTTCACATTGGCGTCCTCATGTGTGATTACAACCTGCCCAACTCCAGGGGTCCCCGCATAAACCAAGGGTCAGCCAGCTATGATCCAAATCCCACTGTCCACCCTTTCTTGTAAATAGCACTTGATTGGAACACAGCCACTTCGATTCGTTTGTGTATTATTTATGACTCCTCTTGTCCTGCAATGGCAACCGAGATGATATGGCCCACAAATCAAAGGATATTTGATAGGTGACTCTTTATAGCAAAAGTGTGCCAGCCCTTGAGATCAGGCACAATGCCATGTCAGCCACTCAGGTCATGAGGCTGGTTGTGGACTCAGCCCAGTGGAGCAAAGAATCCACAGGTAGTTAGCAGGGCCCTCGCCACTCATCAAAGTGATTTCCAAGAATCGGATCGAATTGAATCAACACAGATGTCTTGACCTAGAGTCTGATCTGAGATGCAGGTTGGCACCGAACCAATATTTAGCAATAGATTCATAAGGATTTCAAAGCCGTGACTCGGAAAAAAATGGTAAGAACCGCTAGTCCAAAGGTTTACGTGACCTTAGTTTCTCACTGTGGTCTGGAGGACAGAACGGGAATTGTATGAAGGGCTATGTTTATAGAGTCTTTTATCCGTGCTCGTTCCTCCACACAAACGCAGGAGAACCCGTGTGCCAGTGCGTGCAGAGGTCATCTCCATGCCAACCGCCACTACTTGGCTTCCTCAGCGAACAGAAGCAGCTCCCTGAACCCCTCAGGCAGGAGAGCAAACGCTATACAAGCTCTTACGCTTCAGCTGAGAAAATGAGTATCTTTTTTTTCTCCTTACTCCTTGCTTGCGCTCAGTCATGTCCAACTCTTTGCGACCCTTTCCGCTGCCTGCCAGGCTCCTCTGTCCATGGGATTTCCCAGGCAAGAACACTGGAGTGGGTTATCACTTCCTCCCTCAGGGGATCTTCCTAACCCAAGGATCGAACCCAAGTCTCCTGTGTCTCCTGCATTGTATGCGGATTCTTTACCCACTGACCCATCTACACAGGTTAGACAACACAGCTATTAAAACCCCTTAATCTTGCCTTTCCTGGTCAAGATTCTGTCTGTTCCATTTCCTAGTCCAGTGCTGAACCTGCATTCTGACTCAGTGCACTGCTCTTGGGTTGGCATTGTGAAAATTCTTTGCCAAATTGCAAGCCTTCCTCCCCCGACCCTGACCCTACCCCCTGTCATGGGTGTCGGGGGGAGAATGAGGTTGGACACTGATGACATGCATCCTTTGCACTGTCCAGACTGGAGAAAGAAAAGAGCCAGAAAAGCCGCGAGGCTTTTGTTCTTTATTCTTGCTGTTTCCTGCCAAGTCATTTGAAGCCCAGCTGTCCTGCTCACCGCTTGTGTGTCCTGTCTTCTCTTTATCAGACACTCTCCAAAGGTGGTCAAGGCAGCATCTCAGGTCCTCAACAGCATGTGGCAGTACCGAGACCTGAGGAGTCTCTACAAAAAGGTAAGGCTGGCTTTACCTTCTTGGCTCGTAAGCTGCGCACAGACCCTGAGCCTAAAGACAATATTTGGTCATAACAAGATGTGTCATAGATACGAAGGAACCTTGTCTGAGACTTTGAGCAACTGAAACACAAGTGAAACAAGAGAATCAGTGAAGAAGCCAAAAAAAAAAAAGGTTGCTAAATGTCCCCTGAATATATGCTAAGACCCATGAACTTTCTGGATTGGACAGACCTATATCCGTAGAGTCTTACCTTCAAGAAAATAAGCTTGTTTCTGAGCTCCTATATTGTAGAAGAGACTAAAAAGCAATGAACTGAGGGATTTTGCACACACTCTCACACACAAAAGCATCAACAAGTGCCAATAAATAACTGAAGTCATTGTGGAGAGGAGACAGAACAAAAAAAGGTAAATGGCAGTTCAGGAAGCTGAGAAGTCTTGCAACCTAGGAAACTGAGTAGAGACCCACATTCCACATCCAAGACGCTGACCGGTCCATATGCAAGGTGAAGGGCTGATAATCCCAGTGATGGCCGTAGATCATAGGAAGAGGCTGGGCGTTTGCTCAGGAGACTCCCCGGAGCCAGGCAGAAATTTATATCATACATTTCAAAGGGGACTTCCTCCCAAAAGTTTAGAAACATAACCTTAAGCAAAAAGGTCACATCTAGAAATTTTGATTATATGATTCTTTCCCAAATGTTCGTAAACAAAGGGTGCACAACTTTTCTTTTTTGGTTAGGAGGAGAGTTCTTTAACAGTGTCCCCCAGAAGTTACTGTTTTGTTGTTACCAGACAGCATATGTGAGTTGTTTCAATGATCAGAGCTCTCAGGGTAGATTTGAGTTAACAAATGGGGCAGAGAACATCATTGATAGATAGGCAGGGAGAACGGCGTAGACATTGGTCTCCATAGGGATTCAGAAAGCGTCAACAGGGTTTCATCATCAATGTCCCAGAGCCCCTCCTTGCCTCCCCTCAGCCTGCATGGAGGAGGGGGAAGCCAAGAATCACTGCCACGTTGGTCCCCAGCATCCCAGTCTTCGGATGGGAGGTGGGGCCACAGCAAGAGGCTCAAGAGGGTGAAAGGGAGTGAGATCCATCTTGCCAGAGGGAAAATCGGTCTTTTTCTAAGCCTGTGGGATAAAGTTAAATATTTAATGACTGACTTTACTAAGTTAGAGTCTATTTCTAGATTTCTCCAAGATCTTCCTAGTTCCCATAAGCTCATTGCTTTGTACTTCAGTTTAAAGTTTAGCTCATCAACTAATAAAAATAAATGAAAAAAAAAATAATAAAGTTTAGCTCATATATTTCAGAAATCTCTTTCAAGATTTTTCTGTTCCTTAAGAGGAAGTATGTTTAGGCTGAAATATTACAGAAGTGTTCTTGATTAATGATATCCTTTCCTAAATAGCTTGCTATTTGGCTAAAATGTTTTGAGTTCCATTCTCTGTTTTGTTTGAAATGCACATCCCTTGGTTCCTTCCGGGACTGTTTCAGAAGCCAAATGAATTCCCTCCAGGGACAGGATCCTTTGGCTAAACAGGCCGCCAGACACAGAGAACACACTATAAGTAAGAAAAGAGCTGGTCGTTCTGAATCAGTGGCTCCAGAAGTTCAATGAAATATTACTGCCTCAAATAAACTCCACTTTCACTGAATTCCAGCCAGTTCTTTGCTGAAATGCACCTTCTCATACTTCTGTGCATTGAAGGGAAACGGCTTTCAGAGACTTCACAAGTTATTTGTTGAATCGTAGTATGAGTTTTCCATTTTAGTTTTTTCTGTGTTGGTAGTAGGGTTCAGAAAGTGTAATTGTCTTTCACTTGCCATGAGGGGAAAAAAAAAAAAGAGTATGTTGTCAGAAATTTAATGGAGCTAAAACTCAAGAGCTAAAGAGGGTTTAAAATGTGTCTTAATGTGAGGAGACTCAAGAAAGACAGGCTGGAGAAGCTGAAGGTGATGTTTTCAATTGACCCATGATTTTAAAATATTGAGAAAATGCTGTTGTTCTTAACGATTTCCAATTGTGCAGCTGCGAAATGAAATGAGGACTGTGTGCTCAGTACAAGTGCTACAATGGCAAAGCTCAAAATTCACACAAGCTTTTCTTTTTGAAAGGTCCTATGGTGAGAAAATCCAAATTCACTTGTCCTTATGAATTGTTTTTAATCAGTGAGGCAATAGATTTCTATTTTGTTCTTCACTGACAGTTGAGAGATCATTTTCTAAATGTCTGATCCATATCTATAATTATTCGTGCTTCTAATCTGTTTATTAAATACCTATTATCGGCTTAGGAAAAGAAGAGTTCCAAAGAAAAGGTGACATGTAGAGCAGCTATTGTGGATGAAAGTGAAATATGGAACAGTGATTGGCAACTGCATTAGGTTCAGAGTTATATATTATGGATTTACTGGATAAATTAAGAGCAAGAAAATTACAGAGCAAAATCTTGAAGAATCTATAGAGTTTGCATGAATTAGGAGATAAGAGGAAAAAGAACGTTATGGGCAAGAGGAAAAAACGTGAGTAGATAGATGTAAATTGAAATAACAATGGCATATCTATGGAACGGAATTAAAGGTCCACCTGTCATTGGCTTATTTCCTCCTTAGGACCCAAGCACAGGAGCCGGAACCACATTTCATTAGCTCAACTACTTTATTTCACTTAGAGATCCATTTAATAAATCAGAATGTTCTTTTGGCTGGGTGTGTTGACCACATTATGTTGGAACCCAGACACATTGTGAGCCAAAACGGATTTGCATCATCCAGACCTTCAACTTCAATGAGGCCTGGACTTCTGACTTTTCTCCCCTAAAGGAAAAGAAACAGAAGAGTGTTATCACACAAAGGCTAAATAATGCATCACCTTAAAAAAAAAATCCTTAAGATTGGATAACCACAAAGAGAAGTTTCAAGTATCTTTATCATCTGTATTTGTGCAGAGGATGTTTTCTGAAAGGGAAGAAGGTGAGCCCTGGAGCAGACTTGATAGAGGGCTGAAAGAAAAGCAGGCGATCAAAAGTTCTTGACTTTTTGAACACTGGTACTTAAAAAATTGAGGTCAGTGACTGACAGCGTGATAATGTTTGGCAGTGGTAGGGTTTGTTGGGACAACTGGTTTTGAGAGAAAGGAGATAAATTTGGGAGGGGATGGGGACATAGAATTATAAAATTGCAGAAAGCATTTCTTATAAACCCTTATATAATACCTTAATGTTATGCACATCTCAAAAAAAAAAAGAAAAACATAGTTGTATTGTTTGGGATACAAGCTAAGTTACTCTTAACAGGAAGACTCAAAACTTCAGAAACGCAAGCTAAACAAGTATCCCTTTCTGTCATGGGCCTGTACCTGGTTAGGCAGGTGGCCCAGAGTCAGCGGTGACCCTGGGACCTGTCTTGTGATCCTGCCGTGTACTACAGTATCATCGTTGCGTGTGCGTACCAAGCTCCCTCACTGAGCTCTTCCCCTCTCACTGCAGCCCGTAGGAAAAGTGAGGGCAAGTGATGTTCTCTGAAGCACATGATGCAAAAGGGACCAACCTTCTGCTTCCCTGCCATGATCAAGAACTCAATCATGTGGCCACAGCCATGTTACCCGGCTATGAGGGAGGGCAGGAAAAGTGAGCCATCAAGAGCCCTGCTAAAGCTTGGTGGCAGGAGGAGGGAGTTATTTTACTAAAAGAAAGAAGGTGTCATATCAGCTCCAGGAGTCATTTGCTTTTGTTCAAATGTCAGGTTGGCCAAAAAGTTCATTCTGATTTTTCTGTAACGTTGTGTAGAAAACCCAAACAAAGTTTCTGGCTAATAGAGTATCTGAACTCTCCACTGCAAATCACTCCCTAAGGAGGCGTATTATTCCATTTTTGGGTGGCTATGATTTTTCAGAACTCTTACATGAAGGAAAAATCTCCATATGTGTGTTATCTGTCTTCCAACGCTGTACTGAAAAGTCTACTTTCTCTTCTCTAGGATAGCTTTCCTATTTTTGAAGCCAGCCATCATGTCTCCACAAGGTCATCCCTTTTCAGTTGTAGGGATAGCAACATTTATTATTATCAGTACAGCTGTCGACAAAAAAAGAAAAAGGCAAAATCTAAAAATCGAAAGTTACATTTTCATCACTGTGCAAAGCTTAGAACTTAAGGCTCGGACACAGCATCGGGGCAGCCCCCGTTGTCAAGTAGAGAGAGAGACAGTTTTTCCGGTGTTCAGCTTATAATACTCAGGCTCACTATTTTGCTCTAAGAATTGCAAAGAGCTCCAGAAAGAACAGCATCTACTCAGCCACTCTATGAGCAAAGTCCTTTGTTCATAAATGCAGGGATCAGATCAAAGACAGATCAGATATCAGAATCAAACTCTGCTGATGGTCACCCAGGTTAGAAACCAGACTCATTCTCCCTCACAAATAGTCATGGCCCCATGTTTCTATAGTTGTGCTCCTGTGGGGTCCCTAACTCTCCTACCCCTCCCCAACACCCCTTGACCCTCCCACACCTCCCCTCCCCGCCCCCCCCCAAACCCTCCCACCCTTACCCCTTGGGATCTTGCATGGTGAGCTTCTGTCTCAAAGAATGCCAAACCACCTGTGCTTGAAAACTTGAAGCCAAACAAGGTAGTGTTTCTGTGGATAGAGATATTGTATTCACTGTTGCCGTCTGGATGAGAGAAACGAAGCATAAAGCTAATCTTTAAATGTGCTTCCTTTTATTGTCGGGAAGACAGACTCTCAGGCCTCAGGTACCATTCAGCCAGTGAATAATGAGCTTTGATGGGAGTGAAGTCATGCCCTTCACAGCCTGAGTCACCCAGGACTCTCTTTTCCTACTGCTGTGGGATTCATTTCATTGGTCCCGCCACTGTTGCACTCACAAAACGAGAAATCAATAAGTAATTATGGATAGGGAAGGGATGCCTGCAGATTTCCTCAAATGACCAAACCACAGCGAGTGGGCGAGTGGACACAGCGCTCGCAGTGTCT